GAGGCAGTGGAAGATAGGAGGGCCTGGCGTGCTCTGGTCCGTGGGGTCACAAAGAGTCAGACATGACTGAATGACTAAACGACGGCGACGACTACCAATTTGGACTTCCCGCATTTGACCCCACCACTGCTGCCTAAAAATTCAAGTTCTTTCCATGCTGAATGTGAAGCCATTTGAAAAGTTGGGTAAATTCTTATTTTAAAGATACAAACACAAATGAAATCCTCACTTATTTACGATGAAGAGAATGAATCCTCTTCTTTCCCATTTGGTATATTCCATATGTTGCAATATCTGTTAGAGAAAATCAGTTAAGTTTACATTCATTGAGTACCTAATTGCTTCAGCTGTTTTTTCCTCTGCCTCATGGAAAAATGTTTCTGAAATTGCTACTGTTAGTGGGGTGGGGGAGCAGGTCATCAGTGTAGCCTGTAGCCCTTCTTGCTTAGTAGGGGTGCAACATCAAACAACAGGAGAATACACTGTAATGTTTTGTGGTATTTCCTTACCAGTTGTTTGTTTGTTTGTTTGTTTACATTCCTGCAAAACTTGAAAAAGTTATGTTTTGGACCTTAGTTTCCACAACTATTACTCCCAGCCAGTATGGCCATGTTAGTTTGGGAATTTGGATAATTGTCCCAAATATTAACATCCCTGAACTCTGAATTATAGGGAGCATGGTCCATCTCATATCTTGGGGTTATCCTTATGAATTGGAACTGCCAATGGCAAAAGAATGCCCATTTTTCACTCCATTGCCTACACTCACACAAGCACACACCAAAGAGACTCCTTGGTTAAGTATATGTATGAAGATTTCTCTTTAAAAAAAAGTTTAATTACCATCCAAACACTTGTTGTCTAGAAAGTCCTTCCTTTCCCTCTTTGGTTTAAAGCAGGAGTCTTCAAGTTGGAAATTAGTTATATCGTCCCTAACAGGGTTTTCAGGAAAACGAGGCATTCTTAGATACAACGGCTTTAAATATGATGGTGAGTTTCCAAGGCTGAGCAGGATTTGAACCCTGGCCTTCTGAGTCCTAGTCTGTTAGTCTGTCCCCTGCCCCACACTGGGTATCCATTAAATTCAGTATGCTATTAAAATGAAAATACAATTACAAATATCAAAATTATAATCAAATAAAAATCTCTAGCCACACTTGTGCTGAGACTTGGCTCCTCCCCTGCAGACCTAGGGAAGCACTGCACTCTTCTGAAACATCAGCCAGTGGCCTGAGGTGGCTTGTTTTCAGTCCCATGGAGAGCTACCACAGGGAGGGGAATGGAAGACATAGCAAAAGTATGTCAGTCAGGTCAGGGTATCTGATTCCTGAACCTCTCCCTAAAAGTCCTATAGAACTTTATAGACCTCCAGGGAAAAATCAGAAGCCTGCATTTGTCACAGCTGGCATTGCCCTCCCACACCTGGAATAAAAAGACAGACATACAGTAGGTGATGGAGTTAACTAGGGCCACATTTTATTTATTCTTGTTTTTTTAACCTGCTTCATCCAGCAGAGGTGCTTGAACGTAGTGTGGATCCCTAGGGCAGGTGCCAGGGGTGTCTCTTACCACTTCCCTGTCCCAAAAGGGGCAAGTAACTAGCTTCCTGTCAGAGCTGTCCTCTGGATGGCTCCTAACCAGTCGGCTAAAACTGGGGAACCCTCCCATCATCCCACCGTCCAGTCCTCCTGAACTTAGATGCACACTCATCCCAGCAAGCAAATCTCAGAGTCCTAGTTGCTGAGATTCTGGGCACAATAACACTCTTGTGCCTATTGGGAACTCGCCTATAATCACTTTGCATTCCTCACTATCCGCCAGTGTAACCTATTTAAATACAATACCGCTTTCAAATAGACCTGCAGTGTCCCATAGGTCAAGCAGTGTGGGATGGGCAAAAATACACATCAACTTTCTCAAGTCAATTGGGTGAGATGGACCTGAAATTCCTATCGTCCCTGAAGCAACCACTATAGTCACACAGGACCCAGTGGCGGGCAGGTTGCCACAAATGAGAGTTAGCTGGGTGAGGATCGGCTTTACAAAAGTTCCCTGATCCCACCCCAGTCAGCCTTCTGGGTAGTGCCTATTGGCACACACACCTTCCTGTCTCTCACCAGGAGGGGAGGGCAAAGAATCCCCACTGCAGCATGTTAGTACTGGTGGAGAGAACATTTATCCCAAATTGGTTAGTTCCAATATCATGCAGAGAAATACTTTGCAACTTGTACAGTCATCCCTTCTTCTTAATATCCTGTAGCTTATTTGCAAGACAGACAAACTGGATTTCAAGAGAACCCCTACTTTTTCTTCTTTTTATTGAAAAAGTATATATGAGCAAATGTGTATGTGTTATACTGTATATCCATTAAATTTCCAGAAACAGAACTACAGCAACTTTATACAATGCTATACTATAAGAGTATGAGTATGGAAACTTAATGAACTAAATGAAAAATGAAAGTAACTACTCTAATGAAACTTTAAAATGTTCTAATGAAAAACTAGCATGATGTTTAAGAATGAAATAATAAAACTGTAACTAAAGTATTACAAATGCTTAATAATAAAAAGTATTACAAAGCAATGTTTTCTACATTATAAAAATTAGCTCTCAATTAAATCACATCTGTGAAAATATCTTAATAGATTATGGAGTTAATGAACTAAACTAGAGCATAAACAATAGCAGTATAAAACCATAGCATATGGGGGGGGGATCTTACCTCCTCCAGTACAATTTTCTCCCCTCTATAAGTGCTCTCGTGGCATCCTTTGCTCCTTGTTCTGGTTATTTTTTCTGGCCATTATTTATACCATTATCTTTCCTTCATCAATTGTAAACAACACTTCTGCAGGGCTGGAGATCCAGGGGCCTGGAGCATCAAGAATTTTTTTTCAATAAGATATTCTGTTGTTATTGCACTCAATGTAACTCCAAGGGTTTTCAACTTTACAATCTGGCAAGCTGCCACTATAACAATAACATCATTGTTTTGACTAACATTTCTGCTGAGCTTGGAGGAATAAAGCTCTAGAGTATAAAACATTTGATGCACTAGGATACTGTAATGCCAAAATGTTGTAACACCAAGGTCTGGAATACCAAAATGTTGTAGCTATAGGGCCTACAAACTCTACCTTCATATTTACATATTGTAACATAAGCACATCCAACTCTCAAGATTGAAATGATACAATGACCTTGCTTGGCCGGGAAAGCCAGCTAATTGTTTTGCAAAGAGTATAGTAAACCATTGTTCAGACCTCAATTTTAAAAGCACTTTCATTTTCAGGGCTATGTTTCCTATCCCCCTTAACATTCTATACATACAAATTTCACATCTTGACATGCCGCTGGATACATCCATCTATCCATCAATCAAAAAGTGAATCTTACATTTCACTGTACTCTGTATTTGGTGAGGACAAGTAATTCCATTTTCTCCTTCAAAAATGTATTATTCTTTGTGCAGTGTCCATTGCTGTAGGATCTGTCTAAACTATGAATGAAATAATTGAAGGCTCCAGCCATTGAAGATTTCTTCAAAACGTCTCAAAAGTATACTTTTATATTTCCATGGTGATGACAAGTACATGCTGTACATTCAATGCGGCCATTTTTGCATCACAATGTTTGCCCTTTAGCCCTGAACCCACTTACACGGAAGAAAATTCCGTTGAAATCAGTGGGACTGGCCTTCAAAGAAATGTGCTTAAAATCAAGTTCACTGTAATGTGAAGCAGACTTATGCTCCTCATTTGTTGTAAAGCATGTACCACCTGGAAAAAAACTCGAGAAACACCTGCTTCACAGAGAATATCCTCCAATTATTGCTGATTCTAACATAAAAAGAGTTACTTCCTATTCATTTCCATCAGAATTTTTAAATCTGGCACTGAACAACACATTTCTTTTGTGGCAGGATTTTCATCCAACATCTCCAAACGATGGCAAATTAATTACAGAAAGTTATCCATTGTTAGCAAACTCAGATTGTTTTGCAGCAAGCACCCTAGAATAACTTTCCACCAGCACCAAATCTATGAAGATTACTGATATCAGCTGTCCTCAACCCAGCAGTCCAGAAACCCTTGTGATTCCAAAAGCTCTATAACTTGCATGTTTCTCAGGGAGACAGTCGCTTTTAGTATTACTGTGACTAGCAAGAACTGCTATATTAAACAAAACAATGTTTGTAGGTCCTGCAATGTAATTTATCTCACTGAGTGCAGGAGACCAGGACTCCATCGGCAATATGTAGAAAAAGCATCAACAGACCTATATACAATATTCAGAAACCATAAGACTGCCATCTTGACGAAAGTTGGAACAAGCAGAGTCTGAAAACTTTAACTCTGAATGTCACGGCCTATCTGATGGGCATTTGGCCGGAATAGAGACACCACCAGATCTAAACCCAATTAGAAAAGAGGGAAAACATAAATTTACAGACTGGCTACCATGACACCTCGTGGCTGGACCTAGATGACAACACATGACATCATTCATCTGCTTTAGAATGTTCTGTCCTCTTCATTCTATAACTGCCATCTGGGACGCAGCACACTTTTACCAGAGAAATTGAATAAGGCAGAAGCTTTTGCTTAAACACTTCTGTTTGTTAGTCACTCTTACAACTGCATGTACACGAAAACAAACACACCTATATGTGTGATCAGTCTTTCTGACTAAAGCTACTGAGTGTGAAATTCCTTTGAGAGAAGCAGAACAGATTTCAAGGTAAGCAATGGCAATGAGAGATGACTGAAAGGGGTCTCTAGATTGTGGTACATGTACCACTAGTTGAGGATCCCAGTGCTTAAAAAAACTAATTATCCTCCTACTGTTTAGAATATCATTTACTAAAATTGGTCACAAGAGATTCTAAATATCTGAACTCTGACCAGTCTTCAGAGCCATAATTAGCCATTCTGGTATCTGGGGTAAGCAGTGCATAATGTAACTCCAATCAAATTTGTAATTTAGAATATAAATACATTACCAAGAATTAATTACAGGGCTGAACTCTCTGTGATACCCACCCACACCCCATATAAGCTGGCTTTCTTGCAATCCTACCTGGTGGCCCGGGCTACCAAGACTGATGCTATCCTGTCCTCTAACAAGAAAGGCTTCGTCAGTTGGTCACAGTTAGACCAACCCCATTTGGATCTTGTCTCCCCTTCAAGGTTTGGACCAGAGGCCTGGTCTTCTGAACCCCGGGGAAGACATGCATTGTCTTAGGGAAACTTACTATACTAACCACCTTTTCTCCACTCTCACTTGACAATCTTGCCTCCTGCTGTAGTGTCTTATAATAGGAGACCAAACTGCTGGCGACCATTTTGGAAGTCTGGGGAAAGGGCATCCCTTCCACCTTCCAAATTTGGCACCCTGGGGTAAGGCCCCATTTTTCAAATCCTAATTGTGGCTCTTTTTTTCTGCTTTGCAAGCTAGATTGGTCTCCATCAGAAGCAGAATTTTTTCTAATGGTCTCAATGTGTTTGGGCTATTTTTACAAAAAGATTTATATAGCAAATCAATATTTTTCTTTTATAGTTGCAGGATGACTTCTTTTTCTTAAAATCATAGTTCTTTATCTATCATAGCAGACCATATGTCCCGGCTGCATATCTAGAATAATTGAAGGAACATCTCCTAAAAGCTGAGTAGTGGACTTCGAAATTGTTGTTATGTGCTGCCAAGTCACCACTGACTCTATGAATGAGTGGTCTCCCAAATGCCCTGTCTTCAACAGCCTGCACAGCTCAATCCTGTAGCTTCCATTAGGGAGATGATCCATCTCATAGTTGGTCTTCTTCTTCTCCTGCTGTCTTCAACTTTTTCTAGCATTATTATCTTTTCCAGGGAATGTTGTCTTCCCAAAATGTGCCCAAATTAGGACAGTCTCAGGTTTTGTTTGTTTGTTTGTTTGTGGGTTTTGTTGTTGTTTTGCCTGCAGAGATAGTTAAGGCTAGATTTGCTCTAGGACCCACTTGTTCATTTTTCTGGCAGTCCAATGTATCTTCAAAGCTCCCCTCTAACAGAATATTTCAAACAAATCACATTTTTCTCTGTCAGCCTTCTTCACTGTACAGCTTTCATACCTTATGAAGTGATTCTGGGTGCCAGAGGAAAGGGGGAGAAAAAACTCACTTCCCCTTCCTCTTTGCAGCAATAACCTTTGCTGGATCTGAGTGCTTTCCATGAAGAGAAAATGCCCCTTCCATGAACAGCAGAGGGCATATAAATCCATCCCATTGTTTTGCAAGAAAAGATAACTAAAACTCCATAGAGATATTCTAAAATCTGCATAACATACATAAATGCATAAGGAAGGGGTGCACACAAACCTCTCTACACTTCATCTCCATTTTCAGTATCTTCCATATGTGGAAGGGCAACTTTATAAAGGAGACAGTTGGGACCATGAACAAAGGTTGTTCGTGAAACCACAAATGTTGAAAAAATGCCATTGCCTCTGAATGCTGAAAAATGTCATTGACTCAGACTTGTTTTGGTCCCTCCCTAGGGAGATCCATGTGGCTTCTACTTTAAGAGTCTTTTAAACAGAGCCTGAAAACCTTTTTACTACAAACTACTTTTTAATGTGCAGTACTGTGCATTGTTTTAACTGCTGCTGTTTTAATGCTGTAATGTTTTAATGTTGTCGTTTTATCGATAGTTAGTTGATTTATTATGTGGTATGCTTTGCCTGGAAAAAGAGAATAGTTCTTTTCAAGAACAAATAAATGCACTTATAGAGAGGCATCTCACTGAGAACTTTACAGGGTAAAGACCATTGCAAATATGTGGAATTATATCGATTTTTTCCTCTGATTTAGACTTCATAGCAAGTCGTATAATGAACCAGGCAGTAAAGGAGGGAACTGGAGTTTGTGAGGGAGGGGAAATAAGGAAGCATATAAACCTGAGGAAAGCACAGTTCACCAATAGCCAAATATGACTTGGCTGTGGAGTGTGAACTGAGCCCTCATGCAGCACAGCTTTCTGTATAACTCATGAAATTTTTATCTTAACCCATTTCTGCCAGGTTAGCTTATTGACCCTGCGTCTGGCCTGCACGCACAGACACTCAAATGTCTCCCAGCTGTGCTGCCATTATATATCTTGAGTTGTTTAAAACAGGACGGCACAGTCACATCAACTAATGAATAATCCCATTCATAGCAGAGGTCCAGCTTCCAAAAGGTAAAGCTCTATCTGCTCTTCGATACCACAGTTACATTTTGATATGACTAGTAAATATGACTTTCATCTGAACCCTAAAGATGTTATTACCAGCAGACACTGTGGAGCTATAAGGGTATACTATCAGAAACAAGCAGGGAAACATCAACCTACAGTGGTTTAGGCATATTATTAACCTCATCCTACCAAATACGATCAATCTTAAATTTAATAAGCTACAAGCCTCCAACGATTGAAGCTCTTTTACTTTTTAATAAACATACGTACTTAGGAGTAGGCGATTAATGCCAATTAACTGTGCAGGCCTAACTTAACAACGGTGTAAGCGGCACTTTTATGTTGAAAGTCTTGCAATATCTTCAAGACTCTAGATAAATCAGTTTCACCCGTCATGCTATTATTGTACTTCCTAATCTCTTGCAATGGCACAAGGTAAAAACTTCAATGAAGATCAGCCAACAGGGATTTAAAAAGGTCATCTCCTTTGCAGAAAAGATGATATCTCAAGGCTGTACCACATGCAGCATCTGCTCTTCCATTTGTTCTAGGTTCTGCACAGATCTAATCAGAATTAATTGACTTCATATTTTGCTGCCTTTTCATGCCAGCTGATAAAGTCAGCTGCCTTAAACAACAGCCTCATCAGGGTTGGGCCAGCAACATAAGATTGTTGCCTTGGGCATCTGCTGAAGCCAACATGTCTTTTGGTCTTTGGTGAAAATTAAGCTTGGCTTGAATTCCTCAAAAAGGATTTCCTAAGTAGTTTCCTGCTTCTTCTTTTCTTTTTCAAACTCCTCCCAGACTCTTACAGTATTGAAAAGGGAGGTGCAGTGAACCAGCATCCCTACTTTTGTTGCCCTCAGGCAGGATAGAGAATTTAAGGCATAACTGTGAAACCAAAGTTGTTCAGTGCTATCCTAATAATGCAGCATATTGGTTTCTAGAACTTTCATTTCTCTTCCACATCTTTCTTTCATCAGCTAATAGGAACCGAGACCACCACGACACTTGCCTAATGTGGGGCCAGCAGGCACAGTGTCCTCAGATGTAACTTCCATGAGTTCTCCACAGTTGTAGCAACCAGAACCTGGGTTTATTGAAGTTGGGAGACAAGGGTTACAAAAATGTTGGGCTGACCTCCCTCATCCTTTTAATCCTCGGGGGAGGGGTTACGTTTCCAGCACTAGTGCTCCAGACAGTNCCCCCCCCCCCCCCCCGTTAGCTTCAGTGGGGTGATCCAGCTCTCTGTCTCAGGCAGGCACACAAGCATTAAGTGCAGTCCCAGTTCACCCAGCTCTCTTTAAGAGTAGCCCCCTGAACTGGCTGAAGGTCATCCTCTGTGACTCCTCAGCTTCTCCTGGAGTCACCAGTGCCTTTCTTTCGGGCATTTGTGCCTCCAGTGCTGCTGCTGTGTCAGAGTGTGAGGAGCTGGTCCCATCAGGTGCCATGAATGCCAAGTGGAATCAGACTGGGGAGGGAGTGTCGAAAGACAAATGAGGAGGGTCCTGCCATCCCAACCACACCCCTTCACTATGGGCACATGTACAAGGACACCCCTCCAAGGGTCCTCCCAGACAATATTCCACAGCACAGAAGATAGGATCCAGGGCCTCCATGGCTTCTCCTAAAGTTTCCTCTTCATTAGAGGTGTCCTCTGGACAATGATGTCACCTCCCCTTCTGTCTCAGCTCCTTCCTGCCCCCCCCACCTGTTTTCTCAGCTGTTCCTCATTGATGAGCCCTTTGGCTGGAACCTGCTTTCCATCCTTTATGACTTAAGTTCTCATGAGGCCTGGGGTTTGCACCTCCCATCGGGCTCTCCATGGCATGTGCAACAAGGGCAGACAGCTCCGGGTGCTGGTAGAGACCCCCTCACAGGGACTAACAAAATAATTTTAATTTTGTTTTAAACAAACTAGCAATCTCCAAAAGTGAGTATTCTGAAAAGTCCACACATACAACTTTTGACGTATTCTTTCTCTTATTGGAGTATTTTGCCTTCCTAAGAGTTTTCATTGAAATCGTCGTTCCTTTTGCAATTTTGCAACAGCAAACGGAATGGAGAATTTATGAGAAGCCATTTTGTTCAGCCCGCAAAAGCTTCCAACAAGAATACAAAATAGATGTCCCAGGGCCCCTGATGCTTGTCATCATGAATGAGAGTGAGAGTGAGGTACTGAACAGAGGAATAGAGAGAAGGAGAAAGAGGGGGAAAGAGAAACCATCTTGAGTTTGATGGCATCAAACTCATTTA